CTCTTGGGAGAGGGGAGGCAAAGTGTATGGAACTTCCTTTTTTACCAAACTGCCTGAAAGGTCAGTATTTGCCTTCCTTTCTCCCATTCTTTCTCTTCCCCTGCCCCCTTTGGTAATGTGTCCCTTGTCCTCTATTTCTGTACAACCTCTTACCCCTACTCAAGTCCCCAGGACATACTACTCCATAGGATTTCAGTGATCTCATTACTTGTGAGAAAGCATCTTATCACAGACCTCAAACTAAGACACTTGCTTACTTATCATTCACTCAACACTGAGGGTCTAGGACTTTTCAGGCATTAGTAGATACACTGACAAATAAGATATGATCCTGACTCCTTTAAAAGCATATAGTCTTCAAGTAGAAAAAGGAAAACCAATCAAACAAAAAACACATACACACATACATGACTCAATTTACTATTTTTTTTTAGATATTTTTGTTATAGGGTGTGTGCATTTGCCAAAGAAACAGGGAGACAGAAAGTGAGAAATCAACTACCCCCGCCCCGGGTAAAATGGCCCTGCTGCAATCCTTTCTCCTCCACTCTCCTCTCTGGATTCGGGGGCACGCATGCACATGTGCTTGGCATGAGTTTTAAGCCACCGAGTCCAGGACTTGAACTGCTGCTGACTATGTGAAAGTCCAGCAACATAACCATTTCACCATCTGCTGGTCCTCCAATTTACTTTAATGGGTACAAAGTTACAATAAGGTAAAAGAGTCAGAAGAATTCAAGCTTTGTTTCCCTCTTCCTGCTGTGTCCTGCTGTTACCTATATTTGGGGCACATTAAGGAGCAAGGCTCTACATCCAACCCTTGCTCATGGAAGCAGATAGAGAGGCCAAGGAAAGTCTTGGACAAGTCAATTCATGAGGAAAACAAGGAAGGTAAGAAGGGAGATTATTCTATATTAAAAGCAAATTATGGGGCCAGCAGATGATGAAATGGTTATGTTGCTGGTCTCCCAAGTAGTCGACTGTGATTTGAATCCTGGACCCGGTGGCTTAAAACTCACTCTGAATACATGTGTGTGCATACCCAAAACCCCAAGAGGAGAATGACAAAAGGACTGCAGCATGGCCATCCCCCCAAGGGGTGATTTCTCGCTTTCTTTCTCTCTTTCTTTTCAGTGAACACACGCACCCTATAGCAAAAATATCTCTAAAAAGAAAAAAAAATTAAATTATTGGCCAGGTCCATAGTGAAGTGGTTAAGTGCAGAGGAATCTGATTTGAGTCCTGGCCCTGGAGGTTTGAAAAACAGGCTAAGCATGCACGCATGGCCAGGATCCTGATTGGATACAGAATTAGACGTAAAATTACTACAGTATGACAAGACCCCATTGAGGAGATGCTTTCTGCCTCTCTCCCTCTCTCTCTTTCTCTCTCTCTCTCATGTGCCCTCTAACATTAAAGAAGAAGAAGAGAAGAAGAAGAAAGAAAAAGAAGAACAAAGAGAGAGAGAGAAAGGAAATTAAGATCTTGCCTCAGAGATAGAACCTGAATTTGATTCAGTCTTTGAATCAAGCTGCCTGCCTTTGGGAAAAACAGAAAAGCATGCCAAACTGCACCATGAGTATACAATAAACCAAATCTAAATTACAGTAAATTCTTTTTTTTTTCCTTTTCTTTAAATTTATTTTTACAGTAATTCACTATACTTCATTACAACATACAAAATGAATTTTCCATCCAGAATGCACTGTATATTGGCTCAATCAAGAACATTTCCAATTCTTAGGTCTTGTATACTTTGTTTTTCGTTTTGCCATCCTTGATCCCCTATCCCTCCCCCTCTGCCATGTCCCACCCTCCTCCCACATTGTCTCTGGTATCCATGGTTGCTTTCTATGCCTTTCCCCCCATTTAATTGATTTGCTAATGAACTTAATTAGCCTAAATATTTGCCATAGCAAGTGCAGCTGATATAGACATATACATGAACCCAAGTCTGACTTTAGGCATAATCCTCAGTGAGTAGAATGAACATTCTATAAAGTAGTACCTAGCTGGGGCTATACAGCTTACTGCAGTCATCAAATACACTTTTTTTTCAATTTCAATAAGAACAGTTTTAGTTTGTTTTTTTTTTCTCCTGAAACTTTTTTTTAAATTAATTTACATTCATTTATTTTAA